TCTCTGATTTTGGAGAGGTATGCGTTCGCTCTGTCAGGAGGGATTCATTGAGTCTCCAGTTCATCATTGTGGGCCTATAAAGTGGGGATGACAGGGTATGGTCGGACCACGTTGTGGTGCCTATGCGGATGGTCTGTAAGTCTGTTAGATAATAGTGGGGGAGGAAGAAATAATCTAGGCGGGTGTATGATTGGTTAGGGGTTGAGAAGAAAGTAAAGTCCTTGTCTTCGGGGTGTGTGGCCCTCCAGCAGTCCACTAGTCTGTGGTCTCGGAGGGAATTGTTTATGGTTTGTAAGATGTGTGCAGGTACTGCGGAGGTTCCTGTGGATGTGTCTTGTTGTGGGTGTATAGCAACATTAAACCCTCCCCCATGATGAGGCACCCTTCAGGGAATCCCTCAATTGCTCTTAGGGTTGATTTTATACATCGGGCTTGTTTGGTGTTGGGTACATATAAGTTGAGCAGTGTGTAAGGTTTGGTTAGCACCGTTCCCTTAACACATACATATCTCCCTCCTTTATCTACCATAGTTTCTTTGTGTTGGAATTGGAGAGATATATGTAGCAAGATGGCAGTGCCCTTGGATTTCCCGTCTGGGTTGTTACTCGTGAAGCATTGTGTGTAGCGGTTATTCGTCAATTTGTTCTTTCCAGAAGTGTGTCTCTTGGATGAACACTATGCGTGATTTAAGGCTATGGAAGTAGTTTAGGGCTTGGGATCGTTTTCCGGGTATATTAAGGCCTTTAGCGTTTATGGATAGGAGGTTGATGGGTGCCATTCGGTAGGTCTGGATAGTCGCCATTTCGCCGCTATAACTAGTAGCTTTGGCTGTGCGGGAAGCGAGGGCAGATAGACTTTAGTGTCGTTGCAGGGGAGAGCGTCTTACGGGGATAGGAGATAGGGAAAGAGGGAGAGGAGGTGTTAAAGGCGTGTTTTGGAGCCCTGAATGTGGGCATGGAAATTGGAAGTCGGTTAAATCTGTCAGGTCTCCGCGCAGGGAGGGCCCTGTCTCCACTGAGTGGAGTGCGAGCAGCGTGAACCAGTGTTTGGTAAGGTAACGGGTGTCTGAGGGATCCGGTCCGGCGTCCGCTCCAGTCGAGAACCAGGGGCCGCCCACTTGCTATAGTGACACCTCAACCAATGGGGTACCACGGCCAAGTGGTGTTTACATGTAAGGTATAAAACAACAGTGTATAATTGGAGAAAAACAACAATTACGTTTAGACAAACAGAAAAAAATCAATACACATCAAACAATCCCCTTTCCCCGTTTTGCTTATATTATCCCAACCAGGTTTACAATGTGCGAACAGTACAATCTGTGTAACCATTAGTAAAGAACACAGGGAAGAAGATACAGAAGGCGTATGACTATCGGTGTGTGAGCAGTAAAGGGTAGTGGACAGGTCTCCCATGTCTAGATCCTTCCCCTACCGAACCCCCGTTGTCTCTGTATGTATAAGTCATCCAGTTATGTGTTATTCAGAGCTGTCCCGATCATCTATGTGTACCTGTGGGTCGGTTCCAGCTTAGAATTCAGGTGTAGTGGGTTTGTCTCACTTGTCCCTTCCTATATGTGTTGTCTGGTTATTATTTTACGTTATCATTTTAGGGGGTCCCAGTGTGTCCTAAAGACAGTAAGAGTACAGGTTGCGTGTATGTGTGTCGGGACAAAATACAGTGATAGAGTATACCTAGTACATCATACTTGTAAAGTTTCTCCCCCTCCCACCATAATGCAAGTTATATTACCACCCGAAGAATCAGAACGAGGACCCTCGTTAGAGTTCACTGTCCTTTTGGGGGTCTCTAGTCTCGTTGTCTGCACAGTCAGCGTGAGGTGCCTGCTGGTCTTGTGGATTCCTGTCTGGATCTGTTCCTTTGCTGTGCGTACGCCGGGTCAATCTGGGGCAGTGGAGGTGGTTTATAGAAGTCCAGCGGACCAGGCCAGCGCATGTTGATTGGTGAGAGTTGCAGAAGGTTAGAGATCTCTATGTAGTCTCGATGTCCCTGTATCGGTCTAGGGCCTTTAGGTGTGAAGAGAAGTATGCCAGACGGGAAGATCCACCTGTATCGTATTTTCTGCGAGATCAGGACACGTGTCAGCGGTTTCATCTCTCTCCTGTATCCTAGGGTGGCGGGACTGAGATCGGGGTACAGTTGCAGAGTATGTTGGTAAAATCTGATGTTTCCATTCTTGCGTGCCGCTTGCAAGATTTCCTCTTTCAGGGTATAGCTGGAGAGGCAGCAGATAACATCTCTGGGGGGGCTGTCAGGTGGTCCCTTCGGCTGGAAAGCCCTGTGTGCACGTGTGAATTCAATGACTGATCCCTCCGCTCTCTTCAAGATGCCGTGGCTAGTACCTCACGGAGGTGTTCTGGGGGGTCTTCTTGCTCTGGCAAGCTGTGTAGGCGGAGGTTTTGGCGACATCCCCTGTTGTCCAGATCTTCTAGGTGTAGAGCCATCTGTTGTAGCTGTGTGGTCTGTTGTGGCTGCTTGAGCTGTCACCAGGTTGTCATGATCAGCTTCCACTCTTGCCATGCGGTCAGTGAGGCCCTATATATCTGCCCTTATGAGCTGTAGGTCTGCTCTAATGGAGGTTTGCAGTGCTGTGTTTGCAGTCAGCAGATCTTCTTTTGTGGGCAGTGCTCTTATTAGGGCTCCCCAATCAAGTGGAGGAGATGGAGGGATTTCCCCTCTGCTGGAGACCGGTGAGGTCGGTGTGGAGAGGTACGACATGTTGCAGGCCACGTGGGAGGTTAGTGCAGTCGGTGTTGTCAGGTACTGCTGCATGGAGGCAGTTATTTGAGCCTGATGGGACCCTGATTGCCTGGGGGTGCTTGCCGCTCTGGAGTTATTCCCCATGGTCGGCCTTGGCTGCTTTCAGAGGTGCTGGGGATAGTGAGGGATTGAGGAGCTCCGGTTTAAGCCTCCATTGCTTAAAATATCCCACCTCTTGACAGGTGACATTGTAACAATATAATCAATGTTATTCACTTCACCTGACAGTGCTTTTAATGTTGGGGCTGATCAGTGCATGCAAATCTGTATGTATGTGCATATTTCTATTTGTAATTTCTACTTGCAATCTAATCAAATGAGAAAAATTCTCCATCATAGTCTTTGGCTATTTTGAAATAAAATTTACAGGTCCACAATTCCTAGAATTCTTAGAATTAAACAGAACCGAAAAGCAAAAGGTATTGACTAAAAGGAAAATGTATTGACTGTAATATTGGTTACAGTCAATATAATAAATAGATTGGTTATAAAAAATATTTATAAATAGAAGGAATAAAAATGTGTAGCCTGTACCCTTGGGCAACAATGGCATATACATGGGAAACCAGTTTCAAATATAAGCATGCTTGAATTCTACAATATCATCAAAAAAGTGTAAAAACAATTAAAAAATAATAACATTGCTTCTTTAGCAACTGTCTAGATAGGTAAAATGTGTCAAAACAGTCCCTTTCAGACAAGTGATATGCAATGTGAAGTTAAATCTTTATTAAGGACATGGTAGCTGGTAAATAATGCAAATACATTGTCATGTGTTGGTAATTTTGAAACATCTTGATGATTCTTGGCAAGTCTTGGTTTTCCTGTTAGTTCTAAACTTGGCACAAACCCCTTTTAATTATACCACATCAACATTACATACTGAGATTCCTAATTGCATCACACTAGTCCCAATGAGCTTTCATTTCATTGCTCACATAAATAAAATTGACTCTTCCAACTACATTTACTCTTGTTATTACTAGATTAATACAGTGCAAAAACATTCCTGACTACCTTACTCAGAACCTATCCTTTGTGTGTGGAGAGGATTGTGGGTGGCGACAGGGGGTGGGTGCACCCCTTCCTACCCCTCCCCTTTTTTAAATTCTCACTTTTTCTTTGTCTCCATCTTCCTCTTCCCCTTCCTCTCAAGGCCCTCCCATGGCCATTCTCTTACTTGGCAGACCTCTTCATTTTAGCTCCATTCCCTCAGATTGACCTGAGGATGCCATCAGCTCTGAGGGCTTAGAGAAAGAGCCTCCGGCTAACTCATACTTTTATCCTGAAGAAAGTAGGCCACAGAATAGAATCACAGCACTAACTTCAGACAACCCACACAAAAAGTCATAGGGAATCCCTGACAACCTTTACCCTTACTCCACATATGGAACTATGAGAGAGGTGGGTGACAGGTGGCCCCGGTGCAGTAGTGGACACGGAAGTGAGGATTCGGGAGTTTCGGTGGACGGGAGGGGGTGGGTGCAATACTGGTAAACACTAAATAGTAGGAGAATATATATATTTCCTAGACTATTGACTAGTACTACAGGGCATTGTTTATTGTCATTTGGCTACTCATCACCTGTAATCAAATAATACTTCACACAGGACAAGTTTGTTGATCTGCACATATAGGGATTCTCAAATATACATCAGGAAGAAATCATAGACAAAACAAAAACATTTATAAACAAGAAGAAAAAAAGGATACAGAGGCGCTAAGAACAATGAACACTGGTGCAGCTAAAATTACCCAAGTGTAGTGTCACCAAATACACTTGCAAAAGTGATAAGATAAAAGAAAAAGGTGATTAGCGCACACAAAGTAGAAAAGATATTACCTTACATAAAATAATGTCTCAGGTAATCTTATATTAGGTAGTTCTTGTAACCTATACATAGGTAAATAAAACATACATAGTGTAACCTGTTTCCATAAAATATCAAAGTGAAGAATAACTTTCTTTCACACATTCACAATTTCCAGAGCCTTTTTTAAAAGTTGGCTCTAAACTTGTAGCGCTTATCGTCTCCTCCTTGAGACACATCCTTGAGACACATTGGTACATCAAGTATGTCCACAGGAACCTGGAACTGATGAATTGGCAGCAGACTCCAAAGTAGATAAGGAGATATTTTTATTTTAACAAAATAAAAAATAAAAAATGTATATATATACAAATATTTAAGCAATAAAAGCACAACGCGTTTCAACCTTACATAGGTCTTTTTCAAGTGCATCTAGTTTCACAGTGAAGTAAAAAGTTTCACTGTGAAACTAGATGCACTTGAAAAAGACCTATGTAAGGTTGAAACGCGTTGTGCTTTTATTGCTTAAATATTTGTATATATATACATTTTTTATTTTTTATTTTGTTACAATTAAAATATATCCTTATCTACTTTGGAGTCTGCTGCCAATTCATCAGTTCCAGGTTCCTGTGGACATACTTGATGTACCAGCATTATATGTCTCAAGGAGGAGATGATAAGCGCTACAAGTTTAGAGCCAACTTTTAAAAAAGGCTCTGGAAATTGTGAGTGTGTGAAAGAAAGTTATTCTTCACTTTGGTATTTTATGGAAACAGGTTACACTATGTATGTTTTATTTACCTATGTATAGGTTACAAGAACTACCTAATATAAGATTACCTGAGACATTATTTTATGTAAGGTAATATCTTTTCTACTTTGTGTGCGCTAATCACCTTTTTCTTTTATCTTAAAAAAATATATATTTATTGAAGTCAAAAAAGAAAATACATATGGCAAGATACTAGAACAACAGTCCTCATGTATATTGTTTTGGTCCAAAAATGTGAAAAATGAAAAAAAAAAAGATTGTCAGTATACAAAGTATAAAAATACCAAAACCTGAGCATAGGACCACCGGCAGCTGCTTGTACATGGGGGTGACCACCAAAGAAGCCGACCCTAAAGAAAGATTAGAGAAGCCCTGGATGCATTTTGCACCACTCCAGGTGCTTTCTCAACATGCATGTCGGTATCGGCTATCCTCTCTGCAACTACCATTTAAAAAAAGTTCTAAGCTTATCGGTTTGTGTACCATTGAGCAATATTTATTTTACATACGTAAAAGTGAAGAAAATAAGTATGCATTTGTGTCTACTTTTGGGGAAAATGACAACTTATAGATATGCATTGAGTAAATATACCTTAAAAAGCATTAACCTGTGATCTGGGATCTGTTAACTTTTAGAGGTAGAACTCTTTTAAACATACAGAACGTAAATCAAAATGAATGCATGATAAAAAAAACAACACAGAAATGTTCCATTGTCAAGGTTAAATAATACACTAAGTAAAGTAAATTGAAGCATAAGCACAAAAGTACCTCTATAAAACGACAAATAATCTACAAATCATTACAACAATTTATTTCTAAAATGCACTTAGCATCAAATTGTTCTCTAATTTTACATTATGTAATGTCTTTGTAGAAACGCATATAAAACCTTATTTTACATTATGTAATATATTTGTAGAAAAGCCCCACTTGAAACACTTTTCCTCGATTTCCCATTCTTGAACTTACATATTTTATACACATAATCTAGTTTTTTACTAATCGGCCCCAAACCAGCAAACCATCCTTGATGTGACTTTTTACAGCCCTGCGGCATCTGTTGGCGAACCTACCTGAGGAACCTTTCTTGAGCAATAACACAAGGATGTGAGCTGTGAGTGCAGGAGTATACATTAGCCAAAAGGATTCATATGTTTAAAGGGACACTGTAGGCATCAAAACAACTTTAGCTTAATTAAGCGATTTTGGTGTATAGATCCTGCCTCTGAAGTTTCACTGCTTAATTCTCAGCTGTTTAGGAGTTATATCACTTTTGTTTCTGTTTATGCAGCCCTAGCCACACCTCACTGGCTGTGACTGACACAGCCTGCGTAAAAACAAAATGGTTTCATTTTCAATCAGATGTAACTTACTTTAAAAGTTTGTATCTCTTGCTCTGTTCATTGAACTTTAATTACATACATGAGGCTTCTGCAGGGTCTAGCAAACTAGCAACAGAACTGGGGATAAGAAATTCTAAATTAAACAGAATTTGCAATAAAGAAAGTGAAAACATTAGATGACCTCTTTAAGAAGGCTGTGCCAGTCACGTGCAGGGAGATGCAATTGAGATTGTATAAACAAAGGGATTTAACTCCTAAATGGCACATAATTGAGCAGTGAGACTGCAGGGGCATGATCTATACACCAAAACTGCTTCATTAAGCTAAAGTTGTTTGGATGTCTATATTGTCCCTTTAAGAAGCATAATGCAGGTTATTAAGAAATTGTGAATTGCCAGGATTTCATAGATTTCAAATTCTAGATTCAGAGCTTAAGTGAACTGTACTTTGTCCTTAAATTTTACATTCTTTATTTTTCTTGTGCATAGAGTGTAACGGATCACCTGGAACCCCGACTGGGTACCTCCGTTGAAGGATGCTCATAGCGCTTCATGAGAACTCCAAGCACTGCATCATATGAATGCTGTAAGCAGCTGAACAGGAAAAGCATACAATCAGCTCACACTCCTGGCAATCAGCATACAATCCAATTTCCCCAATAACGAGACGACACTTCGTTTTGAGGTCAAGCAGAACTGACTGTACTTGCACATACAGCCTCTTTTATTCACAATCCACAAACATAGCACCGCCCACAGGGTTTTGAAACACAGCCAATCAATCCGTACAATACACACAGACACTTCCACACAAAATCCTCCCCTCTGTCTGTGATATGATTACTGAACACAATGGTTAATCTAATTATCACAGTCAGAGAAATACAGCACCATAAAATATATCACAGGGACCCCAAAACATGCAATAACCCCACAAAAAATATCCTCGGAACCGGGGGATCTGGGTGAACAATATATCCAAAATTCACCCAGATCTGTTCAGTACTTTGGAAGATACAGTTTAATGCAGATTCCTCAGAACATATGCAGGCTATATGAAAAACAATTACTGCACAATGTGTCCCCTGTTGTATAGTCCAAAACCACTGCACAATGTCTCTGCGCACCAAATACTGGCGAGATGGCACCGTGTTGAAAAGTCCAAACAGTGTCTGGGAGTTAAAATGGCCGCCATCCATTGTTCTCAACATGTGCTTCATCCATTGTTCTCACCATGTGCCTCTGATACAGGAAATGGTGGCCACCCAGTAACTCCACAGTATGTCCCCAGATGGTTCTTAAAGGGCCAGCAGCACAACACAAATCCATTATGCCCAAATCATGTCTTTAAAGGGCAATACATCCCAGGGGCCATAGTCACATGGCAGGAGGCTGGCAATCAGTCTTCTACAATGCCCGGTGGCGAGGTCGGTTTCGCCACATAGAATAACACACAAGCATAAATAAGGAAAATTTAAACCATACTTACTGTAATTTTCTTTTCCTGGCTATTTATTTATTTTATGGCAGTATCACTTATGGGTAGCTCCTCCCTCAGGACCAGAACAGGACAAGAAACAGAATCTCCCTTCACACACCAGTCCCTTCACACACTAGGGAGGCAACATGATGCTTCCATGATAAATAGCCAGGGAAAGAAAATTACAGTAAGTATGGTTTAAATTTTCCTTATTCCTGGCTAATCACGATAGCATCACTCATGGGTAATACCCAAGCTAAATTCTGAGAGGTGGGAGAAAAAGGAATTTTAAAATGAAGATTGCAGCACAAAAAGTGATTTATTATAAACTGTGAACAGAAGACAGACACCAAATCTAGTAGATGAAGAGGCCAGATCCAACTTGACATGTTTAATAAATGTCCCTGGAGAAGACCAAGTGGCTGCCTTGCAGATATCATCCAGAGGCACCTTTGCCCAATTTGTAGAAAAAGATCTTGTAGAATAAGCTCTGATCTTGGCCAGTGGAGTTTTATTAAAAGAAGAAGGAGAAGAGACTGCTTCTCCTTTCCTGGAACCCTTAGGTAGGATGAAAAGTTTTTCTGACTACCTAAAGTCTTTAGTAGTTTCCAAATAATTGATTAAATACTCTCGAATATCCAATTCATGAACCTTTACTTCCAGAGTTTGAGGATTAGGAATGAAGAATGGTAAAACTACTTTTTGACCCATGTGGAAATTAGATACCACTTTAGGGAGTAACTTTTGACCAGGTTTAAGGACAACTTTGTCGTGGAAGATTAGAGTATGGGAGTCTTGAGATGAAAAGGCTCGAAGTTTGGAAATACGTTTAGCAGTTGTAATTGCAAACAGAAACACAGTTTTGAAGATAAGATGTTGGCTAGAAAGCTATGAGAGAGTGCCTTATGGCAGTTCCGTCAACACTTGAAGAACTAGAGGAAGATCCCAAGGAGGAGTGGTATTTCTTGCTGGAGGATTAATTTTCATAGCTGCCTTTAAGAAACTTGAAATAAGTGGGTGTGAAATCCAGGATGTATTGTGGAGCACAGATAAGGCTGTAGATTTGACCTTTTGAGTACTTAGACTAAGTCCTTTATCCAGAACCGATTGTAAAAATTCCGGAATATGAATGTGTGATGAATTTATAGGGTCAGTGGAGATTGAACCAGCCCATGATTTAAAGGTTCCCCAGGACATACTTGAAAACGAGAGAAATCTCAATGTATCTTTCCTGGTAAAATATTTTATAAATAAATACATTTTGTAATAACAGGAAGAAGCAGATTTTTTCCTAGATTTTAGGAGAGTATCAATAACTTTATCCGATAGAACCTGTGTTTTTTTAGAGATGACCATTCAAAAGCCGTGCTCCTAGATTCCATAGAGATGGAATTGGATGAAGTATTCGGCCTTGGATTAGAATGTTGTTCCGGGAGGAAAGTTTCCAAGGTTTGGATATGGCCATCTTGAGTAAGAGGGGATACCAGGGTCTTCTTGACCATATGGGGATAATGGCAGTGATCCTTTTCCTTTCTTTGCCAATTTTCTTCAATAGGCAAGGAATGATAGATAGGGGATGGAACACATGCCCCAGATCGAAATCCCACGGTAGGGACAGAGCATCTTGACTTACTGACAGAAGATCTGGATTCAGGGAGAAAAATTCCCATTCTTGTGCATTCTTTCTGTTTGCCATGAGGTTGATTTGGGGTATGCCCCACCTTTGAGTGATCATCCTGAATACCTCTGGGTGTAGGCTCCAGTCTCCTGAATAACTTCTCTGCTCAAATAGTCTGCTATGGTATTGACCACTCCAATACATGGCTTTTAGACCTAACAGGTGTTTCTCATTCAGAATCATGAGAGTTATTTTTAAAGCTGAAAGAAGACGTTTGTTCTT